TGTGACTTATAAATTTTGGGATATGTGACCAATGAACAAATTGTGACTTTCAAATTTCTAAGTTGTGACTTTAAAATTTTGTGATTTGTGACCGATGAACAAATTGTGACATTTAAATTTTTAATTTGTGACCGATGAATGAACTGTTACCTATAAAATTTTTGAATTGTGACCAAATTACATAAATCTGCGATCTTTATATATTTATTAATAAAATATATAATTAATTAATTAAATCATAAATAAATTTTAATGAAAACCTGATTTTTGAAATTTACAACATCTTCCCTTAGTTTTGAAATGTTGTATACTAAAAACCTGATTTATGTATTGTTCCCTTAATTAATCAGTGGGGCCTACACTAATCAGTGTGGGCTGTACGATGTACAGTCCATTAAGGACTGTACTAAAGTTAAAAACTGACAATGGAATTGAAGAAATTTGTGCCTTTTTTATGCAACAACGATATGAATCTCGTGCGCGATGCTTTTTGGACTGTCCAGCCGCCATTGAATTTGCGTGTTGATATTGGATTACTTCTTATTTTACCAATATGGTGGAACTGACGCGTAAGACCCCATGTTATTTTTTCCACATACAAAATAATTGGTCTTTTTCTTGACAAATTTTTCAAAATATTCCTTGAGCAAAGTGATTAATGGAATAATAAGAATTTATAAATATGTCATAAATATTTAATATTTCTAAAAATAAGTTGTCATCTCCCTCGATCTTCTTCATAGTAGTTATTCCTTTTTTTCTCGTCAAGATATGTCTCAATACTCGTCTTTTCTCCTTCTTCGATCCCTTAATTGCGTGGTCGAAAGCAGCTCAGGACACTCAAGAACAATAAGAAATGAGAGATGGCATGATCTGGCATTAGAAATAAAGAAGAAGCCATAAAATTGGAAGCATTTAATAAAATTTTTATTTTATTTCTCGGATTCGATTTGAGAACAAAATTCATCTTTTTAATTCAAATTTCTATTTGTGCCAAGCTGTTCGCCACATTTCCAAAACCTTTCGAAATTTCAAACTTCTCAAAACCATTTGACTAATTTCATTCCATACAAGACTAATTCTTTTCTTGGCTTTTCTCGAGTTAGTTTGACTATCGATATGTTTTAAAATAAAATGTGATAATTAATAAAAAGTGTTGACCTCGAAAAATGGCTCCGACGCGTGGCCAACAGAATAAGTCTTCGAGTCAGCTCTTCCATGCACACGTAGCACGCCGTTAGTCACCCGTGGCCTTTCCCGAAGGAATTTGGAGCGGCCGCGAGCACTCCGACGGTCAAGTCAGTTTATAGTTTAGCCCGAAAAGGGTTCACAGACTGTAAAACACTCGTCGAAAAGTGGTTAACAAAGTGTGTGGTGATAAAAGTGCCAATATTCAAGGGAGAGGATGATACTCAAGTTGGTAATGTCTTGTAGGAGAATGTGTAGGATTCGAATATACGTGATTCCAATATGTGGGATTCCAAAGTCCTTCGGCACAAGGAGGGGATATTTATACTAAGAATTGGAATATGAGAGCCGTTGAATGAGGAGACACGTGTTATCAGATCCTCAGAGTTCATCCCATCCTAGGTGTCAATCCATCCCTTCATAGATTGGCTGGCATTGAATATCTCTGATAAAGGCAGCTGAATTGACATTTTGGGTCCTGTCACACGTCCCATCAGTCAGAGATTTGATTTTGGAAAGATCTTTGATGGGCGAGGAGTTGCAGCGTTTCAGAAGAAGAGTGCGGGCCTTTGCATCCACGGTGTACTTGCTAATGAGTCTGGTGTCTTCGCTGACGCGTAATCACTTCGGCATGTACAATCAGCTCGTCCCATGTACAATCAGTAACAATAGTCATGCAAGTCCATGTATGGATATTTATGTAGTACAAGGACGAAGTGATATGGGTTGGCAACTCTTTGGAGAGTTGTTGCAACGCGAAGCTGGCGTGGCCGAAGCGAAAGGGGTTGGTAACTCTAGAGGGAGTTGTCGCAATGTTAGATTCTGCTCTGGCCGAAGTGATATGGGTTGGCAACTCTTTGGAGAGTTGTTGCAACGCGAAGCTGGCGTGGCCGAAGCGAAAGGGGTTGGCAACTCTAGAGGGAGTTGTCGCAATGTTAGATTCTGCTCTGGCCAAAGTGATATGGGTTGGCACTATGGAGAGCTGTTGCAACGTGAAGCTCGTGCGGCCGAAGCGACAGGAGTTGGTAACTCTAGAGGGAGTTGTTACAACATCAGATTCTGCCCTGGCCGAAGTGATAAGGGTTGGCAACTCTGGAGAGTTATTGTAACGCGAAGCTTGTGCGGCAGAAGTGATATGGGTGGCGAGAGGCTTGGACTTTGTGCCAATTATTTGAAAGCGTTCGCTCCTTCCCAAGACACATCAATGGGGCGTCTTCTTGCTTCCAAGGCACGCCTCTTTTGCCATTAATGGTAAAGATGGCGACGGTCCCCATTCCTCAGGATGACTCGTTCAGGTTGTGTGTGTGTTTCACCGCTACATCAAAATTGTTTATCTTGGTAACCTTCGATTTCGACGGTGATCCTGGGGCCTCAGCTTTAGATGGCCTAGATGAGATTGGAATCTATCCAATGGCTAGGGTGAGTCTTAGAATGCCTATATAAGGCACATTCCTTTTATTTTAAACCTTTTTTACCTTTGCGAAAATCTCCAACTCTCTCTAAAAAGATTCTTGCTTTCACTACTATTTGAGTTTTCTTATCCGACGAGCATTCAGAACTCCAGCGACTGTCGTAAACTCCGGCGAGGGGCAAATTTACTTTGTTGAACTAGGTAACAATCGCAATTTTCAGTTTCTTCGTCTTTTCCCTAGCATGTGTTTCAACCCGTTGCAGGCTACCACGGCTCGACTACTAGGGCATCGCAGTATGGGAAGTGAACACTTGCAGTATCCTCCTGGGTGAATGTAATAGGCTCCATGGCCCCTCTTGATAGGAATATAAAATATACAT